TATGAGATCATTTGTTCATGATTGTAAGTTTAGAAAAGTTTTATGTAATTTAAAATTTTAATCAATAAAAGTAAGATGAAAATATTTTTTTCCCAACAAAACCCTTACATTTAGTTAAAGTGCTCCCAACGACTCCTTCATGTATATAGCTTAACTAGAATCATTTTCTAACCTTAGCCGAACCAGCCAGATATCGTTAAACAGCGTTCAACAATGAACTTATCAAAATAAGCTGAATAAACTGCTTTTAAAAAAAATAAATTGAAAATAATTTTTTTAAACAAAACCTTCATGGTTACCGCAACTAATATAAAAAAAATCACTTTTTTCTAATCTTAAAAAATTAAACAAACTAGGTCTAATTAAGCACAATTATACGATTCATAAATTATACGATTCATTAAAAAAATTGTGGAAAAGTTCCGATTGAAGATTTTATCATTAAGAAAAATCTGATAAATTTTTCAACAAAAAAAATACTGATACTTTGCCAATTTTACACACATAGATCAAAGTGCCCATATTCTAATTTAATTCTTTCTCACCAATAAGATTTGTAATGGAGGGATTTTCTCAAATTTTCCTTCATTTTGAATTCCATACAAATGTAATGGTAGTAGTACAAAACCCATTTAATTTTAAAGGCTTGCATGAGAAAGCACAACAGCTAGGAAGTCAGCATTCCATTCACATTAATTAATCAACTCTGTTAATTTAATTATATGTGATAAGATATGTCCCATAACGTCTAAGCCTTAACTGCAGATGCTGCTTCGCTGGCAGCAATTTTGTTTTTTTTTTAAAAAAAACACCAACTTTGACGGTGGCAGACTGATAGAAATTATAGATTAATGGTTAAGTCCGTTTGTCAATATTTGAAACAAATTACTTTTCACGTTTGATACAGTAAGAAAATTATTGTCAACGTGGGTTATTACTTGGAGAATTATAATCAGATCCTAAGAATGTGATTTAATCACCTTAAAGTTCATCGATAAGTAAAGACTAAGTGGGAACAAGTTCGAAAATAAAGAATCATAATTACTTGTTATTGAGACTTTTTAATAGTGAAATTTTTTTCCTGAGACTTCTTGGTAATTCTTATTTATTATTCTTCCAGTCCTAAATATAAGAGACATTTTATAGTGTAAATTACACTATAAAATAAATCTTATATTTAGGACCGGAGGAATACTTGTTTTGGTTAGAACATATCAGTTAAGAAAAATGTTTGTTTTTTCTCTCGAAATTATCAAGAAATTATAGGTTAATATGATTAGTTCCATTTGTCAAATATTTGAAAAAAAAAATAGTTTTCACATGCAATATACTCCTATCGTCCTATTTATAAAGCACTTTCAATATGTTTCATATAAATTAAAAGAAAAACTTTAAAATGCATTAACGTCTCCATTAAAATATAACAACTTTCTAATTTTATTGCTATTTAATATATAATTTTTAAAGAAAAATAGCTATCTACATTATAATAAATGAAAAATAATACATTCATGTTAAAAATTTAATGAAATGACTTATAAATATGATCAAGAAAAACCTTATATTTTGACCTTATAAGTGAGAAAATTAATCTCAACGTGGATTATTACTTGATTTAGTTGGAATATATTTATTAAGAAAATTGTTTTTTCCCGAAATGGATAAACATGGTTGATAGTCCTGCATTGTTTGCCTAAATATTCCGGGGATAATTCAAATATATACAGATTTACTTGACCAATTAAGTTTAAAATAAAATATGATATATTCCGAACTGTTTTGTACACAAGAGTAAATTAATTTCAGCACATTTCAAGCTTAATGGTTGTCATGTGCGATTATGTGCTCCTTTGAATTTGATTCATGGAGCACATTAACTTTGAAAGCAATATGGCAGATCACTGAGAAAATCCCGTGCTTCTTTCCAATAAAACAAAATTGATACATGTCTTTTAGATAAAAGAATATTGACCATTGATGCTTAGATTCAGTGAAGGGAACCCATGCAAATAAAATACTAAGTTCAAGTTTTCAAATGATAAAAATAAGGCAAAAGTGTATATTTAATTTGGTCCCTTAATCCTAAAGTGCACTTTTTTTAATCTTTTAATCCCAATTTGTTACTCTCAAATGATAATTTTTTTATAATTATTATAATTATTTTTAAGAAAATCATATTTAATATGTTAGCATTTTAGAATATTTTGTTAACATTTAAAATTTTAATATCAATATTTTTTGTTAGCAGTGTCAAGGATAAAAGACCGAAAAAAACACTTTATATAAACAAGGAATTAAAATAAAATCTTATATGAAGCTGAAGGACTGAATACTCCCAAAGATTAAAAAAAAAATTAACGGTACAATTCGAGATATTCAGCCACATTTAATTAAATAATAGAATTATTTATTAGTTTAGAATTCCAAATACTGGAATATTTTTTTTTCAAAAAAAGGACACATTCAATAATTGATCTGACCTCATCAGTTTCTATGATTTATTCTAAAAACGTATTAAATTTATTATCCAAAAAACATATTAAATTTGATGACAATAACGTGTATCAAATAATTATTTTAACCTAATTTTGTGTGTGTGTGTGTGTGTGGTCAACATAGGAGAACATATGGCATGTGATTTAACGCGAAAGTATTTTGTGAATAGCAGGGCTGCTGGCTGAATTAGAAAACAAATATTCAATATTTTCGGCCTTTCTCTGTACATTCTCTTGTCAGTTTTTTGGAATTAACTGTACTACCACAGTATTAACACTTATAAATATTATCTAAAACTATTTGCATAATCTAAGTTGAGTTTTAATACTATACAAAATACGAAACAATTATAAAGGACTTGTTTAAAATAATTTATAAGTAGCTTTTCAAACATAATTTATGAAATACGAGATAAGTATGTGATGGGAGTTTTGTCTCGACTTGCGTAAAAGCAATTATAAGCATTTTTGCAACGTTAATCCAAATAAGCCATAAAATATACTATATCCAGTTCTTAATATAAGATCATGTTTGAATTTTATTTTGATCCTAAATATAAGACTCCAATTCACTTTGTCGCTTATATTTATACATTTTTTTCCAAAGTAGCCTTTCTAATAATAAGAGTTTTAGTCAATACACTTGATTAGCAAGGATATTTTAGAAAAGACAACACCTATTTAGAACAAATAACTAACTCAACTTACTTCTTTAATTTCCTCAATTTAGTCAACTGGTTCTTATAATTAGGAGCGGAGACAGTATTACACAATACTTTATGTTATAAACCAAGAAAGTTTTCTAGAAAACAGCTTATGGTTAGGAGTGGAAGAGTATTAACATAATTTTCGCTGCAGAGATTTCGTAAAGTAGTAAAAATACTTTTACAAATTTAATATTTGTAATTTCAACATTTTATTAAAAAAAATATTACAGATGCAACACTCTTTTCCCAGTTTTCTATAGCATGCCTAAATTACCAGACGCGGGTAAGGCATTTCGTGTTCACATATATATTCTCAAGAAATTACGAGCTGATTAATAAGGATATTAATTAATATTAAAATAAAACCTGATCACATTTTCAATATGAATTAGTAAAATATTGTCCCCTGATTAAAAAATTATATTGATAAAATATTATGTTAAACATGATGTTATATATATATATATATAAATTATCCGATGGACAGGGATGGAATATTATTATTTCACCTTTTTTTACCTTCCATTGTCACCAGCAGCAACTTTGCTGTTATTTTTTTCTGTAATTATGGTCAAGAATATTCCACTATTATTATAGATCATTATTGTTTAACACATCACTATCAACTTATTATCACATTTACCATTATCATTATTGTTACAATAAAGATAACTTGGTAACCAGGGAATTATCATTCCTGCACATTTCATCTTAATTATGCCATTAATTACCTCATCAGATTAAAATAACTTTGTGATTTTTTTTTTTGCTGGTACCATGGTAAAATTCTTAGAACAGTGCGTATTTTTATTTTACTAGAAATAGGTTTTTACTAGTACCAAATAACATGTTTTCCATTCATTTACTTTATTTAACATCATAAAAATATTGGGGCATCGCTAACTAATTCAGTTATTATAATTAACTAAATTATACATTTATAAAATTTATTATAACTTATATTGTTCTCAAGTCAACAATACAACTTCTTGCTTAACTTATAGCCAGTTTTTTTTAATTAAAAAAAGGCCATGTACAAAATTAAAATAAGCTAGCCAAGTTGTTAAAAACTTTTAGAGAATATTTAAAATATTCTTTTTTTTCAAAACATGACAAGTATTCATGTGATTCTTTGATAAAAGTATATTGTTTGCCAGCACTTTATTTAATTACCAGCCCTAATAATCAATCTAAGGTATTTCTTTACATTACAGGATTTTTATAAAGATTTATATGATTTATTAATTAAATTATATATATCGAAATATTCTTAAATATATGCTGTGTATAAAATCATTACCAATTGTAATAATTATATATATAACATTTATAATAAGATACAGTGTATACATGGTATTATGAATAGTGCAGGAGTCACTCATTTCCATATTTGATATTCCTACAAGGCATTATTAGATGTCTAAGTAGCTTTTTCATAAAAGAAAAAAGAAGATATCTGAGTACTTTTTATTACAATGTTTACAAGAAAAATACGGGAAAATTAAGCCCAAAGGGAAAAAGTTAATTTATGAAATGTTTTTCTAGTTTAGATTTTGACTTGTGTGTACATAAAGAAAAAGAAATACTGCGTTATGGTTACTTGTGGAATACGTATTGTGGAGTCGCTCACAAAGATAAAGAAGACCGGAGCTATTAGTTTTGTCTATTTTTATTTTTATTTTTATTTTTTTAATTACATGCTCAGGACTATATAAAGACCCCCACCTCCCCTGCTTTTTCGTGCTCTGCAAACCAGACAGATCTAACGCTAATCATCATCACCATCTTCTTCTTCTTCTTCAACTTCCTCTTTCTTTCTCTCTCTCTCTCTCCCCCCCTTTCTCTGTATCAATCTCTTCTTCTGCTTATGGGAATCGAAATGGACTACAAAATCAAGACCACCACTTCACCCTCTTCCTCTTGCTCTCCTCCTCCTCCTCCACCTCTGCCTTCACAACCACAATCGCCGCCGTCTCCGGTGGTGGTTTCGCCTTGTGCCGCCTGCAAGATCCTCCGCCGTCGCTGCGTCGAGAAGTGTGTTCTGGCGCCTTACTTCCCGCCGACCGATCCGCTCAAGTTCACCATTGCTCATAGAGTCTTCGGAGCCAGCAACATCATCAAGTTCTTGCAGGTACCTCTACGTTCCTTCATCGTCGTCTTCGTCTTCTTTCTTTCGCGACATTCTTCGAACACCTTCAATTCGTCACTCTCCAGAAACGGTTTCTGAAGAATCCTGATCTTTGTTTCTTTCTTTTTTCATGAATTTCTCTTTTCTAATGGTTTAAGCGTATCAGAGGAACAAAATCATGATTATTGGTCAAAAGTAGAAGGAAAAGCCATCAATAGGCTTACCTAATTTATAGTCATAATGGCCTGTTTTCTATCTTCCCAACACATCAATTTTCTGAACAGAGCGCGCAATTTTCCTTTTCTTTCTCTTTCTATACCGAACTCTGCTTAACAAACGAGAAATTCCTTCTCCACCTCTAACAGAATTTCTTTTACACCCCTCAATTTGTCTGCTTCACTAACTCCTGCATTCGTAGAAACGAACAGAAAAATCCATAATGCATTCTCACCATCGTGACTAACAACCAAATTTTTTGAATTTTTACTCGATACACCTCCATTCTTACAGGCTTATTCCTCACAGGAATTGAATTGTTTTGAGTCAAAATTTGTGAACTTAACTCATAACTGAGAAAAGGTTTAGAGACAAAATTATTTTTTTTATTTTTTAATCTATAAATTCTTGGTTGAATCTCTCGTCTGGAATCAATTGTTATGAGCTGCACAAGAACGAACTGCTTATTATAAAATTCAATGCAAGGTCTTTTATTTACAAAAAGATATATAGATATATATATATGTGTATTTATTTTTTGAAATAACTCCAATAACTAGCTAATGAATTAAAATTCATACAATCGTTATATTCATCCCTTATAAGTATTTATAAAATTGAAAATTGGATGAATTTTCAGGAACTTCCAGAGTCACAAAGAGCAGATGCAGTGAGCAGCATGGTGTACGAAGCAAATGCGAGGATAAGGGACCCAGTGTATGGTTGTGCTGGAGCCATATGCCAGCTTCAGAAGCAAGTGAGCGAGCTGCAAGGTCAGCTAGCCAAGGCTCAAGCCGAGCTGGTCAACATGCAGTGCCAACAAGCCAACTTGGTGGCTCTCATTTGCATGGAAATGAGCCAATCTCACCCTGAGCCTCACTCCATGGTGGCGTCTCAGTCGGCTCAGCTGCCACCCCACGAAGATATGAGCTGCTTGTTAGATGACAACAGCATGAACAACCTCGGCTCGGCTTGGCCTTGGGAGCCTCTTTGGACATGAGCTGAAAAATATTATATATTTGTTTGTTAGGTTATATTTATATCTAGTATCATTATCATTAGAGAGACTAATTTAATGGAAAATTATATATATTACAGCGAGTAAACTTTCAATAAAGATATACTATCACTTAGTTTTGTGGTAGATGAATGACGGTCATATTGCTTAGTGCTTAATTTAGATTAGTCGTTTTGAAGCCAAACCTTTGAAAAGTCAAGAAAACTAAATAATTAAATAATAGGGAATTAAAATAAAGGTAAAGAAAATAATAATTGACTTAAAAGCAATAACTTAAAAAAAAAGAAGAAAAAGTAATTGACAGGTTTACATTAGAATGCAATGATTTTGAAGGGAGAAAAATAAAAAGCTGGCTTGGCTTGGGTCAGCAATGCCTTGACATCGATCGTTTGCGTTTCTTGTCAAAACAACGGTGATAATTCTTTCTCTCTGTCTCCTTTTCTTTTCTTTTTTGGTTTTGTTTTCAGTGTTAAGATCTCTAGACTCGCTCGTGTGAAATGATTTATCTATAATTTTAATACCAGAGCATAATTTTAATATCATACTATATAATTTGGATTTATAATAATATCAATCAATAGAAGATTTATATCTCAGTCGGTATAATTACTCATTCTTAAATTCTAATTAATAAACTAAACAAAGCATTCGACTTGTTAAGGTATTATGACGAGAAAACTCCACAAGTTGACAATTTAAAGAACAAATTGATTTGACCCCAAATAGGTAAACTAAGGAAAATATACGTAAAAGTAACCCGCCCTCATATATATATATATATATATATATATTTATATATAGATTCAATTGATTAATTATTAATTAATTGTAAGATAAATTGAAGCCATGAGTAAGAATTCTATCTTCGAGTGCAAACTAGACGTTTTCATAATATCAGAATGTACCACGTGGGTGCTCTCACACTCGTATGTTTGTGTATTTTTTAAGAAGTGAAAAAAAATATGATTCTATATATGAAATCTATATATTATTATGTTTATTAATTTTTACATCATCGTTAATAATATTTTTGTAAATTTAAAAGTTCTGACGTACTGTGGGAGGCTTGAATGTGAAAGGAGATACATGGCTCATCAGTCCACTTTTCCTTTTTTTTTTTTTTTTATTAGGGAGAATTGTTTTGAAGTTATAAGAAATAAATAAATTTTGATAAATTTATAATGACAAGTTTTAGAATAAACAATAACAACTGCTTACTTGGCATTACAAATTCCTAATAATTATTTTTTTTAAAAAACCTTATTGTAATTATTTCTTTTTATTATATATTTGTGGTGGAAAAAAGGTAGCATTTGAATGGTCAGTTTTCTGATATATATTTTTTTTGTTATGCTTACTACCTTTCAATGATTTAAATTTTAGTCAGACAAACAATGTCCTTAATAAAAATAAAATTACCATAAAAGATATAAGGCAATAAGTGAGGGAACATTTTCTTTTGATTGGGAGGACGAAAAAAAGGACAAGGTAGATAAAACATTGCAATCATTTGGTTAAACGCGCTTTGTTTAACTTTTTTAATGGGAGAATTATTTTACAGTTTTTTTTTTATTTTAAGGATTATTAATAGTATATGCTCGTTATTTCACCTGTAAATTTTTATTATCCGAGTGATAAATAGCATTATTATTTTTTAATTGTAAAAATGTGTGTTATATGAATGATAAATTTAAGAGTCTTCTTACTAGTTAAGTTGTGATTTGTTTGCTTGAATCATGTTGTGAATTTGATTCTTTAAGTATAAGTCTCCTTCATTTAATCTCGGGAGAATTATAATGAGACCTTAGAAAAAAAATTACAAAATAAATCTAAATGTTGTTATTTTTTATTTTAAAATTTATTATTATAGGCTGTTCAGATTGTTATTCGAACTTCTTAATAATTATTTTTTTGGGGACCTGTTTGTAATTCTCTTTTTATCTCTCTGTGTTTTTTAATGTCATTATTAACTTTTTTGTGAGGACCAAAAACTAAGCTTTTTTCGATTGTCCCGTAACCCAAAAAAACGCGTCGCAAATTCTCATCTTTGTCGTTTGACATTACTTTTCTGCTGCCTTATCTCACGTGCTATCCATGTGGTCCTCCATTGCCCCACATTAACCAATAAATGGAAAAATATATTTACATAATTTTTTATGGAAAAAAAATTGAAAATTCAAACTCTACTAACAGGTAAAAAAAACCATGTTATTTTTTGCCATTTTTTCTGAACCACTAGCATTTTATAACTTAAAAATTTTTAGAGAGAGAGGGAGAGAAAGAAATTGCTGTAAATTAAACTAGGAAAAAAAGAATTATTCCATCAAATCAAATATGGAATTTTCAGGCAGTCAATCGCCCATTTAATTCTCATTTCAATCGTTGTCTTGTCCTTATGCCAGACATACGACATCAATGATCAACTAGCTAATGTACAAGGTGATCCCAACGCGGTGAGAAATTAATTAAAATCATTCCTTTTTATCATAATTTTGGACTTACATGCTTGATTTAACTCCACCTTTGGTTGCTCAAATAAGACATTTTTTATATGATGGAATTAGAAATGGAAAAAAAAGGTTTTGACTAGATGAAAAGAAAGAGATTTACTATTTTTCTATTTATATTTGGTCAAAATATGAATAAGATAAAAATATAATGGATGGACCATCTCAAATGACTATCCTCAGTAATTTCTTGATTAGTAGAAATTATTTGATAGAAACTCTTTAAACCAGTTATAAAAAGAGCAAATATTCAATAATTGAAATAATATACTTTTAATTACAAATAAGAATACAAACTAATTTTGTAATTCAAATGTTTTGTTCAAGGCTTAATATTATTATTTATCCTTATAATTTAGTCAAATTTTAATTTTGATTCCTTAATTGGTTTTAGTCCCTATAGTTTCATAAAAAATTGATTTCATTTTAATGATGGGTTCTTTTTTTTTTTTTAGTTCCTATACTTACACTTAAACCAAATTTTTACGAAATTATAAGAACAAAAATCAACTATCTAAAACGACAAAGAATAAAATCAAAATTTCATCAAACTGTAAGAAATAGCACTAATATTAACCCCTTATTTAACATTTATCTTGTAGTTCAATGCATCAAAGTAGAAAGTGGCAACATAGTAATTTCTACAGCATCACATTCTCATATAGCTTAATTTCATTCAAATTAACATGGAATCCCCATTCCAAAAGCTGTAGGAATGAGCAGTACTAAAGAAATGGAATTTGATTTTCATTATATTGCATATTACCAAACAAACAAATACATATAGATATGGAGCATGGACATATGGTACATAAGAAACTTTAATATAAAAGCAGAAATCTTTAGAAAAGAAATAAAAAAGCGAAGCAATAATAAAAGGGCGAAGGAACAGAAAGTGAAAGTAACAGTGGGGGGTGATGTGTGAATGATTGCATTGTTTGAGTTTTACGCTAGAAGGGAATATGTTGTTTGGAGAAGCATGTGCCTCCTGTGGATACTCTTCTCATCACTTGACATTGAAAGCTCATGAGTCAAACACACCTACTTTATTTCTCCTCATCAATTCATTGTATCCATTCATGTTTACCTCATTTCCCAATTAATTCAAAATAAATAACCCCAATTATTCTCATTTCTTGCAAATCTATTTTTATTTTTCGGCTTCATCTAATGGTACTTAAATTAGGATAAACGTTTTCTTTCCTAATAATTAATATGTGCAATATATACCAACCATCATGTGTTGGTCCTAGAAGAGAAAATGAATAGATCCCACTTAAACATGATAACTTTTTTTTCCCACTAAAAAAAGGTTTAGGTGAGTTGGATTTTTGAGACTTACCAAGGATAGGGTATATCCTCAGGCTTATAGAACATTTATAGAAATACTTACAAATTACTTAGTGGCGAGATCATCATATCTGCGGTGATAAACTATTATTGGCATGATAACTTGATTTCAAATCAATACATACAACAATAAAGTCTTATCCCGTCAGATGTGATTGCCTATTGGATCGCACGACGTCATAGAAGTCATAAAACTCTATCAACGACTATTTTGTCTTCAATATGAATACAAAAGATGTTTCTAAGGTAGTTTTCTCCTGCCCAAACTTGATAGAAGCTTGAGACCAAATTAGTTGAAAGTTGTGGAGATTTGTTTCATCAATTGTTGGATTTAGTCAATGAATTAATTAAATTACAAATAAAAGAAGACAAAATGAATTTTGACATTTTTGGCATCTTATTCACACCCCTATAGTTTATGTCTAAGTTAGGACATGTGCATATAGTCTATGGCAGTCACATGCTCATGGGTTTGGACCCTATTTTTGGGTCACCATATGACTCTCCATGCATGGCAGTCTTGCAGGGCAACAACCTCAACGCCTGTATTTCTACTTATTTTGACCTCCCAAGTCTCTTTACAATGGACTGCATACTTATTCATCACCTTGTTTTGTGCAATAAATAAAGGAAGAATATATATATATATATATAGTGTATATAAGTAATTTGTTCTGAAATTAAGATATTTACAAGACTTCACCATTGAAAAATCCATAAAACTATTTGGCTTCTAGTGAGCGCGCGTGCGCGCACACACATTTGATCATGCTCTTAAGTAGTGTTGGCAAGATAATACGGGACTAATTATATCTTCGTTCTAGTTTCTAAGAGCTAGACTTAAAGACAAAACAAAACTAGCCAATGTGAATTAACACAAATAACTAATTATTATTTTAACACAAATAATCATATCATCAGTTATGAGGATTTGAATGAACAAAGATGGAATGAAGAGCGATAGCCCAAATTAAACAAAGTTAGAGAACAAATGAACAATAAAGAATTAATCACATCACATCTTTAACTTGAAATCTTAATGATCGAATTTATGAATCATTTCATACTAAGTCGAATCCACTCACATTTGGATAGTTTAATTTAACATAATTCCTTTTAAATTGTATTCAAACTTCAAGTTCTCGGTTGATAGGCACGTGTTAAGGAATTTTGGCGTACATCCAAGAGCTATAATTAAGTAGTTATGTTATAATCACTATATAAAATCATATTTG